GTATACAGTTAGCAGAACATCTAAAGCTTTTTCGTCATTACTAGCATTTTTGGGTCTTCCAGATCTAGGCGCATCTTTAATTACACCGGTTCTTTGGAAACGACCAACAGTTCTTTCAACAGTTGACTTTGAAATTGGTTCACGGTCAGGATATGTGGCATTGAATAAATCCGCTACTTCTCGATAGAACCTTATTCTGTCGCCATACCCTCTCATCATCAATACAGTGATCCTCTCCGTATCAGTTAAATGCATTTTCAAAAATGTATTAAAATGAAAAATACTAAAGCAAAAAAGATATTAGACAAGCGCTCTCGAAAATTCACAAGCGACCGCGTGAAATAATGAGTTTACAAGTGAGAACTCTCTGAGGAAACATCAACTACTGCATACCATAGGTCGCCGGCATACGGGCATTGACTTTTGAGTTCGAACCAAACAACTTTTAGTACATTTCTATTGTCAGAAAATGCATTTAACTGATAAGGAAAGTATCACTGTATTGATGATGAGAGGGTATGGCGACAGAATAAGGTCCTATAAAGAAGTAGCGGATTTATTCAATGCTACATATCCTGACCGTGAACCAATTTCAGTCAACTGTCGAAAGAACTGTTGGTCGTTTCCAAAGAACCGGTGTAATTAAAGATGCGCCTAAATCTGGAAAACCCAAAAATGCTAGTAATGACAAAAAAGCTTTAGATGTTCTGCTAACTGTATACGATAATCCCCATACATCGGTCTCGAGAGCAGCTCAAGAAAATGATATTAGCACAACATCAGGCCATCGAATTTTGAAGAAGCATCACTATCATCCTTACAAAATACATCTAGTCAGGAACTATCCGAAGACGATTATGACAGAAGAGTGGAATTTTGCAACACAATGATGACACGACTTGCTGATAATCAGTTTTTCAACTGGATCTGTTTTTCTGACGAAGCAACATTTGAATTAAACGGTTCTGTAAATCGACAGAATATGAGGTATTGGGCAGATGAAAATCCGCATTGGATGAGAGACAG